AAAGAAAGCAATGATCTGGAATCGAAACAAAAGTAAAAAAACAAATGTGTAAATGATCGTGATACGAATCACGGCCTTCTGTTTCGTGGCTGTTTATTAGCGGCCGCCCGATTACCGACCGATTTCGAATAATATTTTTCATTCCCTGAAAACAGGGATAAAAGGACATTTTCTGAAAATGAAACCCAGTTAGATCGATTTTTCACCCCCGAATCTACGCATATACTAAAATTCATGAAAATCGCTGGAGCCGTCTCCGAGATTCCGTATATATATATACCAGAATTGCTCGTTTAAAGGATAAGATAGCCTATAATTATCCTCTCTCGGATCTAGACTATCTGTGTACCAAGTATGCATAAACATTTCTAATATATGTATTAAAATTTTAAACATGAAGCTGATTACAAATAATGTCATCAAAACTTTATATTGGTAGTAATTTAATATAATGTGAAACGATTAAACAGTAGCTAGTTAGTGACTCAGTATGGTAAAAGTAAAAAAATTCCGGCCAAGCGCGAGTCGGACTAGCACACTAAGGGTTCCGTACCATCTATAAAAACTTGACTTATTTTTTTTCTGCTTTTTTTATTTGTTGTTATAGCGGCAACAGAAATACATCATCTGTGATTTTATTTGTTTTTTTGTATCTGTGATAATTTCAACTGTATAACTATTACGGTTCATGAGATACAACCGGGTCACAGACGGACAGATAGACAGACAGATAGCGGAGTCTTGGTTAAAGGGTCCCGTTTTACCCTTTGGGTACTACGGTACCCTAAAAAGAGCGCCTGTGAAAAGTGGTGTTGATTCAAAATTGATAATTGTATACAATTTATTTGAATGATTTTAAGTGAACTTTAAAGTGAAGAGGTACGCGTTAACGTCTTAATAACGATCGTGATTAGTTATTGACACCTCTTGCATATTTCAGTGACAGACCCGGTCATTTTATGGCGTGACAGAGTTGATTTCAATTCGGAACCACGTTAATAAGACTTTCATCCGATTCGGCTTTCCGAAAAAATAGCTCAATGGAAATATAATTATTTCCCGAATTTAGATATGTCAAAACGAATCATGAATGCTTTAGTAGGAGCAAAATATACTAGTTATATTAGAAACATGCATGCTTGATGATATTCTGTAGATTTATGAAAGTTGATAACATAAAAAATTATTATTGTTCTATAAAATTAATTCCATTTCATTTATTGAAGTAACACAATATCTTCTAATTATAAGGAATTATATTCTTTTCCCGTCAACATAAAATTTTATCAGTGTAATATTTCGCTAGAAACCTTTGTATATTCGGCTTAAATTTCCTACAGGCAGGATATAGTTATGACAAATAGAACTGAGAAAAATATTTATGAATCGAATTCTTTATGAAATAAGTTAAGGGATGTTTTAACATGTACCAGACTTCCAAAATACATCTTTGGATGTATTTTGTTGTTCAGGCGGTCCAATAGTAGCCTAAACACCTGGACAAAATACATCCAAAGATACATTTTACAATAGAGGTGGAAAAAGACGTACTAGCGAAGCGGGAATCCAATGGGAGCCTAGTACATACCGTATTCAAGAAACCGACGAATACGGATCGGTGTTTAAGAGCAGATGCCCATGATCATCCGTCGCAACTGTCTTCTGTGCCACGCACTCTCTTTAATCGAGCACTTCGCCTATGCGATTCTCAATTCCTGGAGTCGGAACTGACACACGTGCGCCCGGTGTTAGAGTGCAATTGACAGAGTTACCGTCTGGCAAACGGAACAAGTAACGGCGCAACGGCCACAGAATGCGGAGCTAGTGTCGGTATATTTATCATACATGCGAGGGGTAACGGATCAAATTGGACACCTTGTTCCGCCGTAGATATAGCATCGGGAAAGTTTTCCGCCCATGACACAGATAGGATTTCTAATCGATCGCCTAAGAATCGGGAATCCCTAGAAAGCCCCGGCGTCTACGAAATCCCATGCAACTGCGGCAAAAGCGTCATTGGAGAAACGGGACGCAACATAAGTACCAGGCTCACCAAACACATCCGCAGTTCACGATAAATGGACATCAAGGCCTCGGCGGTGGCAGAGCACTCCCTTAACTCCGACACCTCACATTATATTAGGTTCGATAAGGTGAAAGTGCTGGCCCTTTAAAAGAACTTCGTGTCATGGAAATGAGATCAAACGCCGGGTCAATTTCAATAGAGACAAGGGATGGGCTCCGCCGCCTACTTGGAGACCAGTGTTGTTGAATGCGACACGAGTGGACACTTTGAGTATATTTGTGCGCCCCAAAACACCGATAGTGACACTAGACCCATCTCGCCGGACTCGTCATCATCGTCGGCTCAAGCCGCGCCCCCCGCCCCGTCAACCCGCGCCGTGCACGCTCAGGTGCGCAGTGCGAGACGAGGCGCGACCGCGAACTAATCTCATTCATCCTGATGAAGGACCTCCGCTGTGTCCGAAACCAGTCGATACGCGTCTTATTATTACGTCAATAATGTCTCACGAAATTTTATTTTTGTAAACACCCATGCAATCGATGTATCTTTGCCAACGCAGTGGTACGTTGGGCAACAAACTCTTCAAATGCATATTGCAATGCCGCTAAAAAGTTGTCCAAGTTTTGTAGTATAATAATAGTCGGTAAAGTAATAGTCGGTAGGTGCAAGGTCAAACAAGGACGAGACCAATATTGTTTTGATGTTAAAGTCAAAAGCTGATGAAAGCTCGGCTTTAGATTGAGTGTCATCAGCTTCCACAGTCGCCTTTAATTCATCATCGATGAATTCCAGAAAACATCAAAATTTCCAGAACAGAACCGGTTTTGCTTTCGTTTGTAAAGTTCTATCGATATACGTTGTCGGTGTTAAGTGCCGTTTGTGCCGCTTTGGTGCCACGGCGGAACTCATAATCCATAATTATACGAATTTTTAAAGTATCCATTATGACGAAAAATGTTCAAATATAGTAATGAAAAATTCAAAGCTAATCAATAAACAAAATAATGACTTCGTAAAAAGAATTTCATGTTTTTATAACAAAAATATTAATTGATCAATACTGATGAAAAGTAATTTCATAGCTAAAGACCGTATTAGAAATGATAATAAGTATAGTATTGTATCCATTAAACAGTTTCCTTATGTTATATTCTTAATCGCTCCGAGAAAACCGTGTAAATAACTCATTAAACATAATTAAACTCTTTAGAAATTTTCCGTCGGCTAGTTATCACGGGCTCAGAAAATAAAAATAAAAATCTTACAAATCGTTACAAGGTGTGTATTATCGGCTGGCTATATGATGACTATTTTTATATAATTTCTTACACAATATTACTTGCAACAAAATATTATTAACTAAGACAGAGTGGCAAATATTTAAAAGTACGATTTTTTTAATCTTTTCAAATTCAAGTTGATATTAGTTCTCGACGTTGTTGATTATTTTATTATTTATTACAATTAAGGGATTCAATAATGAAAAGAGAAAAATGTCGCTTTGATTTTAAGCCTTAGGTAGCTCGAAACAAAAAAAAAGTTGTTTATAATTCTAACTGCTCACCCCGGCACACACAGCTAAAAATCTAATTTCGTTTAGTAAAATTTATCGTTATACGTGGAAAATAATATTAAATACAAAAGATAATATGTCATTATGTGATATTTCATCGTATCACATACACCTTATGAAATGTGACATATCAATATCGAATTTATTAAATTAACACAAAGTAATAAGTACAATATGTAATAATTGAATCTAATAATAAATTAAACTATGTAATGCACGGAGCAATATTCTAGAAAGCTGTAGAATCACTTTCAACAATTATACAGTTACATAATATTGAAGGAAATGGTTTTCCTTCGAATTTTAAATGAATGTGAAACAGAACAGCTTTTTCAGTGCTCATTACAAAGTCCCGCTTGACCTTGTGCACTTTTTTTTTTCTCATATTTTATGTTACAGACATCTGCCGATACAAATTACCTTCCCTGAGAATATTAAATGAAAACGTCCATGTACCACAACAGTATTTCTTCTATAAGTGCATATTATAATGTCGTTTGACCTACTAATCAATACTAGAGCCATTATGTTTGATACATACAGTCCGTGTTTTAATTTTTTTATTACCGATATAATTTATACCTATAAAAAATTCTGATATCCACGTGTTACGAATAATTAAAAAATAATGCGTTGCTTTTTTTTTAGCACTGAGAGTGATGTGGTATATTATTTTTTAGGTATAGGATTTAGCCATAGATGATGTTCACGACATAACCCTGTTTCAAACTATTACTTCGGTAAGGTGAGACTTTTCCTTATGGCGTTCTGAACCCAGCATCGGCGACCTGTTGCCTGGCCATATTATTACGCAAAACGTTAAAAGTTAAAATGTTTAACCTAAAATATCCATTGGCCGTTCAATTGTATTAAAATATAAATACACGGAAGAAAATCCTATATTAAAACGTTAATTAGTATTTTTAAAGTTATCAAACGCGACAAAATGCGGAATTACAATTCTGAAATCTTTCATTTTAGGAATTATTCTAGCATTCGCAAAAAAATCGAAGTATAAAGTTATTAACAGATGTTATATAGTTTACTAGACACTAGTTTCGCGAACAAAGTTGAATTTTAAATGCGCAATTATGACAATTCATTCAACGCTTATAATCACAATATTTAGTTAATCACAATATTTTATTATTGAACGAAGGAGGGATAGGTTTGGAATCGAAAGAAAGCATTTACAATTTCGCTACATTGAGTTGATTCGGCGTGAGAATGTTTTCCCCGGAGCCACTTGTTGAATATCTCAGCGAATAATTGGCGTATAAATGAAACCGCTAAACTAAACGCAAAGCTGTTTTAGCCCTCTTGAAATTAAATAGGCACAATAGATTGGCACTGACACTCGTTAATGAGGGGATAATTGACGATACAAAAACGTCAGCTTACCTGAAAGCGGTGGGGCCGGACCGCGTCGGCTTTGCGACGGTCACAGAGTAAATATACCGACGAGACGACGCGCCAGGCTGCGCCGAAGTCGCGATGGAAAGTGTGGAAATAGACGACTTTTCGGTTGTTGCAGCGTGAACGGAGCCGGTGTTGACTTCGTAGACGCCGCGGGGGATCTGGGCCGTGCAGCTAGCGAAAAGCCACAGTACATAGCTACATAGGTCGGCTTATTTATTTCATCGGTGTATTCATCATTATTAATACGAATGGCGCTTTGTATTTCATTCGACGGGATATGATTGTTCTTGATGACTGAAATCTGATCTGAAAAATACATAAAACCTATAGCTTTTTTTTGAAATTCGCCAGAATAATCACCTATATTTATGGAGTTATATAATAGTTTCAGATTCGACATTCATTTGTAAACTTTCTGAATTGATATAGTGTTAGAAAGTTTTAGTTTACTTAAAACGTATTCTTATGAATATAAAACAATGAATGAATGAATGAATGAATATTATTTATTGCAAACACCATGGTAAAAATAATACAAAAAAAAAAAAACAATATTCACTGTAACAGATTTAATGTTACATATGTTTTGTAATTTCACTTTAATCAGTTTTTCCCGAGATAGAAAATAGCGGTGGTTTTGTAGCATCAATTTCATTAATATTTAGCTAGTGCGCAGTAAAGATTGCAAGAGTGATGGGCGGAGCGTTGGGTGCATGGGTGGGGTAGATCCATGCAATGTTGAGACGAGAGCTCCGAGAGAACGAGACCGTAGACATTAATGCCAAAGGTCAATTACAACTACGCAGTAGTTTGTCCAGCGATCGATAGCATACCGTACCCCGCTCGCTAACAATTTCAAGGTGAAGTTTGACGATGCTTGGAAAGCTATTAATTGAACATTCTAATGAATGGTCACGATTGAAACTAACATATTACTAATGCATTTGCCCTTTATACATCGGATGGGTATACATTTATTTTACATAGTTCTAGATAGATTGTTAGTTGGTTTAAAGTAATATTAACGTTTGTGAAATTAATCTTAGGATTGTTATCTCATATGGTAGTTTCATGCTCTCTTTTGGGCTTATGTTAATTTAGTTTAGTATAAAAAAGTTATTTTATGGTATGATATTTACCAAGCATGTGAAAGCGTGAGGTAATTATCAGTTTTAATTATCAGTTTCGAGGTAAATTACGTACCCGGCCCCACAATCATAAAATTACGTTCGAAATTTACTTACTGACAAAAATTTTACCTATTTTTGTCTACTGTATAGGTCACAAGTGTTTATTTAGATGATCCTCAAATCTTGTTATCATTATTATGTGGAATATCTCGTGTATTCGAATAGTGATTTGTAAAAACAGGACGTGTGTGTGTAGGGATTGCAATCCAGCAAAGTGGGATCCGCAAGCATAAAAACACGCACATTCATTTAAATTTTCCGCCTTGAATTTACTTCGCAGCTCTTCGTGTGACGTAAGTTCATACATGCATAGCCCGCCCCATGCTGACCGCCAGTCGTCGCGTTAACCAGTTTAGTTGCCATCTGACTCGCTAGGTTGACACTTACCTTAACAACAAACGTTGTTTTGAAGTCAATCAACAACCTAGAGTAAGTATAATGCTTATTAACTTGTCCTTGAATTACAGTTTTTACTCTCATTTCAAGTAAAATTTTATTATGTATCGTATTGTTTAATATAATTATTTCTTAATAAGAAGATACGCAGATAAATAATGTTAACTGATTTGAGTATGATTTATTTTTATTTCCGATTGACAACTGTTTGTATAAATTTCTACACAGAAACAAAAAGATTTTTTGGCGCAATAAAAATTCTGATAATACAAGAAGATTGGGTGTTAGCACTATTGATGCTATTTGTTTTCTAAGATCATATTTCCAAAATGAGACGTGACTTTTTATTTAATATTTTTAAATTTGTTACATGTTTTTATTGATTCTTTACTTTAGTAAGAAAAAAGAAGACAATTAGTAAACTTAAATTCACATGACACTTTAAATTTCTGAATAAAGAAGACTGACTATAATTACCTCAGATAAAGATTGGAAGTAATATTACTAGTCAACTAAAGTACAAAGACTACACAATTACCAAATGTTGATATATGCATTTGTTTCAACTGTGGTTGGAGCACGCAACAGTATTCGATGTTGTACGAATAGGCAGGTCCGTCCGGGTAAGTGCCACGACCTCACAGAAGACCGGCGTAAAGTAGAAGGTTTACACTTCTGCGTTTCGTCTGGTGAGTGAGCAACCGGTGTTGCAAATGTTCCTGGGTAGCGATATCACTTAACAATAGGGGAACCGCCAAGTCGTTTGCCATTTTGTCACATGAAAAACACTTTTTATTAATAACTAAGTAGACCAACAGTAAAATAATTAGTCACTTAGACTAAGATATTATTGATTTATCTTATCCTTTAAACGAGCAATTATTGTATATATATACATAATCGGCTCCAGCGATTTTTATGAAATTTAGATTCGGGGGCGAAAAATCGATCTAGCTAGGTTTCATTTTTAGAAAATGTCCTTTTATATTTGTGATTTTTTATTCCCTGTTCCCAGGGAATGAAAAATATCACTTGAATACGACGGTAAATTTCACCGAAAAAAAAAATGTTATAATAGCCCGGTCGGTAATCGGGCGGCCCCGAAACAGAAGGCCGTGGTTCGTGTCACGATCATTTACACACTTTTTTTCGATTCCAGATCATTGCTTTCTTTATTTTTTATTTTTTGTCGATCCACATGATTTTGTTTTTTTTTCCCTTTTATTTAAAGTTCTTTCTTCTGTGAATAACATCAGTTCATATTTCTTATTATTACGTCGGTAAGATCGAAAAATATTATGCATATTTCATTACTCAGTAATGTGTATCTAAATGTAATTTCCAAGATACACGGTCCTCCAGGTACTTGGCATTTAAATATGATCATCATGAAAATTCACGTGACATGTTTAGGATTTAAAATAAATATTTCCTTTTAATATCATTAAAACAAAGTAAACCATAATGTCCCATTGTTGGGCAAATGCCTCCTCTGTAGTAGGTGTTAGATCCACCCACCCCAATGCGGATTGGCATACTTCACATATGTTCGAAATTTATATGTTTCTAATTATCATTTCGAAAATGTACACGTTTCATTACGATGCACTGTGGTTCCCTAGTACGAAAAAAATCACCCAAGGTCACTCTGCGATTCAATGAAAGTAGTGATCATTATAACAACTACAAAGTCTGAACTTAACAATGCGATGGTTTCACTCACCGTTTAGCTCGTGATAAAACAACACATAATTACGCGATTTTAAATCAGGTTGCACGAGTGTATATATGTGTGAGAGCTCAGTATGAAAAAATCTGTTGGATAAGACAATTTTTACTATTGAAGCCCAGAATAACAATGCAGGAGTCTTAAAAGCTATAGTTAAGAGTCTTTCAATGAGCTAGTGCACCAGTTCACTATCGAAAACTAGTTATTTTACGCTGAATACATGTAGGCGGAGAATGTCATAAATTAACATTGAGTGAAAAAAAAAAAAATAATTGAATCAACATGCACTAGCGTTGAGTAGTCATGCTCGGAAATTTGAATATAAATTCAGTGTTTAGACTGTACCAACAATTGGCTTGATAAAAAATGCAACAGTTTGATCTTTACGAGGAGTTACTCGTATGTTGGAACAAAGTAAACCGTTTTTTCAGTGCCAGCCCATTTAAAAGTTTTATTCTAACGGCACTTTGGATACGCAAGTTACCACATAATCCCTACATGTATTAGCGAATCTCTGTACAGTGTGTATAAAAAGACTTCACCTGGCAATAAATGAATTTATATATCATGTGACGTTACTTATTAACTAATGAATATAAAATTAATTGACATCTTTTGTTGACTCCTTTTTTCTTTTTTTTTTTTTTTAATTATTGAAAACATTGCCCTCACTTTAGGATAACATAATCCTGTGTTGTAAGGGCGTTTTACAAACATAAATTGCACGAGGACAAACACCCAGATGGGAAAAACTATCTGTTGGCCGCACAAATAGTTGTTCCGTGTGTGATCGAACCCACGACCCCCGACGCCGAAGCCAATATCTTGGCAACTGCGCCACGCAGTCAGCAAAACGACTCCTGACCTAAAACTTCATTAAACTGATGCGAAAAGATTCAAACTGTGCGCTGGATTCCTTTTTAATTACAGGTTAGGGGATTATTAAGTTAACAAAACGGAAAACCCTAAGGGATAAAATTGGGGATAAAAATATTCTTGGACCTAAAAACGTCATTGACGTTTCAAAAAGTTGTTTTATGGTACAGCTTTAAATTCCTACGGTTGCATTAATTTCTTATGATTTACGAGTAGTCGATAATTTTTATGACTTCCAACTTTCGTATATTATTGGTGCAAACCTTTGTCTGCTTCAGTGCAACGAGACTGAGTTAAATTCATTTGCAGCACTAATATTGTATTGCGCGGTCCCACATTCAATATCATAGTCTCGCTGTTGTTGATTTTCCAGCAAATGGGCTTCATTCGCAATCGGCTTACCTGTACTCGGATTTGTGTGTTTATGCGTTGAGCGGAAATGTGATATACATATGTTATGATTCAAGAGAGAAAATCAGAGCTTTTGCATGGAAAATAGACATTTCCTATTTTGTATGTTTCACTATTTTATCTCGCGTTTCACGCAAAACTTATTTACGGAGATTTATAGCTACTGTTAAAAGATTATTTATTGTCTATTAAATTATTCTTTTAAGTGAATTCAATCATATACCAACTTTAGAACCTTATTTAAAATTTAAAGTAAATCAATTTTTAGATCATGTTAACAATTTTTTTTACTAAATTCGCATATTTTCGCTTACTATTTTGTGCATTCTTGTACCTAAATTTACATATCTCCTTCGCACCAGGCCAGTTTGGAAATGCGGTGATTTTTTTGAACGAAATTGATTTTCATTTTAAATCAGCTCTAGAAAAGATTCTAAATGTATGTCTTAATGAAATAAGCTAGACTCAAGGTACGCTGCCTATTCGTTTTGGTGGTATTGGTGTAAGGAAAATTTCTAGTGTCGCTCTACCTGCCTTCCTTGCTTCCGTGCATAGCGTATATGATGTATATATATATATATATAATCGGGGTTTCGGACAAGGCTCCAGCGATTTTCATGAAATTTAGTTTGTGCGCAGATTCGGGGACGAAAAATCGATCTAGCTATGTTTCATTTTTAGAAAATTTAGTTTATCCCGGTTTTCAGGGAATGAATAATATCATTCGAATATGACGGCTCGGTCGGTAATCGGGTTCCAGATTGCTTTCTTCAATTTTTATTTTTTTAAATTCCAAAAATACATCAATTACAAAAAAACAGGGTTTTGTAATATTTCAATAAAACGGTTCGAGGTACTTTAACGTAGAAAGCTTTATTTATAAAAGTGCTAACGAAATAAGAATAAAAGGGTGCTGACGAAAATATGTTCGTGTTGCACAACCCGAGCTGTAACGAAGAATGGGCCGATCGGATTCAAAATCCAGCACAGTCATTCATACGTCATACGACCGGGGAACCTATGCCTCGGTGCATTATGGTTTACACTCAGTTACTAAATTATGTACGTAATTATTGCAACGTGTCAACTGTCGTCAACTCTACGTAAGTAAACGGCATAGAATTGGTCTTCTTAAGAAGGGACTACTCTTATTTTAAAGTTAAATATGAAAAAAGAAATTGCAAAGGCTCGAGAATGAAAATGGAACTTACTACTTCTAATAGCTAACCGCTATGCTTAATCATCCTAAAACAGCCCCGCGGTACGGTTTACAAGCCCCGCGCCGTCACGTAAAAAATAAAAACAGCTTTATTTAGCATTGTGCCAAAGCTGGATTTCTTTTCAAAAAAAAGCATAGATAGTTGTCTCGTGTTGGAAGCGAACCCACGACCCCGGAGAGGAAGCTTCCTTAGCAATTTAGAGTCATCTAAAGTTGGAATAGCCGCTTCCTTGCTTGTTTCATCCTTGTTTGTTAGTGCGATATCCTAATTAATGACATACATATCGCGTCTGTAAAATGTCGCATCTATCAAAATACGTAAACCGTTTCTTTTAAGCGTGACAGTACTTGCTTCACGTTTTGCAAGTGGTGCAATACATTTCGACCAGTTACTGACTTATAAATGATACAATATATTCGAGACTGTTGTTTTCTCAATAAATTTTTGGAACGTAATGACGAAATGTCGCCCAACGGTACACAAAAATACCAATATGCGTTGTTATGGCTGTAAACGCTCGCGAAGCTTCACCCAACATTACTTGTAAAAAGGAATTTTTGATATCTAATTTCGTAAATTGCTCACCGCCACTTAGTGTTAAAATCGATTGTTTAAAACGTGGCAAGGGATGACGGAAATCTTTCAACAAGTCATTTAAGGTGATTTTATAATGAACACAAATCCTAATTGTACCGTCGTACTTAATTATTGGTACAATAGACGTCCCGTAG